GAAGAATAACTCCAGACTAACAGGAACATGCTATGCTTTCATTTAGATTGCAATGTTTGGCTTAGACACAAGAAAGAGAACTAAAGACTACGTGAAACATTCAGACACCATATCCTGGGCAAGGGGACTTTCTATGCTGACACATCATTGAAGACAATTTACAGTCCAAAGACAATTTCAGTCTAAACTGTATGATTTTTCTTTTTACTTTTTAATATGAAAAAACATCTTGAGATATTGGCCTCAATTCCATGCTGTACTTTGTCTCTCTGGTACAACAGGGTGCACTGGAAGAAAGCCATGAAGAAAAGTGATGATTACGAGAGGCAGTTCAGCAGCCTTAATATTGCTCTAAGATGCATCAGATAAACTGAAAGCGCTCTTGGAGCTGTGTAACACATTAATCACACACAACTCACCATTCCCTTTGCTAAAGCAGAGGAAGAGTCAGCCACCTCAGATTTAATCTACAAAAGATAACTTTAAATATGCTTTACAGTCTTCTAAGATGCCAAAGAAAGTTTAGAAGGGCCAACAGGAGACTTTAGGCCTGTTTCTTGTTCACTCTGAATTTTGGTTTTCAAAACATGTCATTGTATTAGGCACCAGATGAGCATCAAAATCAGTTTTAGAAGTTGTTTGAAAGACCTCAAAAATTATCATCTTAAACAAAAAAAAACACCCCCCAAAAACTCAAAAACACTCACAAAACCCCCTAGATGTATCATTCTACTTTGCTACAGCCCCGTTCTGTTCTAACAATCATGGTGAAACAAGGCTAGGATGAGAGCGCCACAGAAGACAACAGACTCTCGTACTGTGTTAACAGGGCACATAGGAGTCACAGTACCCTTATTAGAGTCCAGTCCTACTAAAACAGCACAGGAAAGTGCCACCATGAATCCTGGCATATAGTATAGTTCCTGCTCCTGAAGTAGGACTCATTCAATTACTTAAACCCTTTAACAAGGACTACCATCTATGCAGAAATTCTCTATGGAAGGTAATCTCATTTTTGATTAGCAAAAAGGTATTTTTCGAAAAGAGCAAAAATGGTTTCATATAATGAATCAGCCTCAAGATTCGTATTTTTGATAGTCTGTGCCACAAACCTAATTCTTACTCACCTTTTTAAGTTTCCAGAAAAGGTCTCAAATGTGACAGATAAGTACTTACACATAATAAATTTTTTGCACTTTGATATTAACATAGTTTTCTTATCCAAATAGAGGCTTTGTAATTGGATTCATAAACAGCGGTCTACTCCAATGTACTATACAGTGTATCACATTTATGCTATTTGATAAATAGAGCTGCAATTTAAATATGCTGTTTATAGCAAAACTAATATCATGAAGGTCATTTGTCAGCTCCCATCTTTTCACAATTTGCATATTAGTTTTAAGTTACATTTTGCTCCAGTGCTTTTAACCATTAACTCCCATCATAACATTAATGAAACTGGAGTATATTTTAAAAAATATTCTGTAAATAATGATTCATTTTAATTTAATTAATAATTCATTTTAATTCCCTTTAATGACTTTCTACTTCTCAAACACATATGTTAAAATTCCCTTCACTTTCAGTGGCAGAAAGACTTTTCATTATGCTGTTCTAGGATTAACTGTGACAGCTTATAACACCTCTGTTCTTTTCCTTATATATTAATCCTTATATATTAATCATATTTGTGTTTTTAATTTGTTGTCAGAACTAAATTTGCAAAAACTAAATAGCCACTTTTACGTAGCTCTCTGTTGAAATGCTGTGGAAGATATGACCACATCTCTTTCTGCAGTCCCAACACAATACTGAAATTTATCTGTTTAAAAAAAAAAAAAAACTTACATAAAAAATATTACAAAAGACTACAATTTTCAGGAATATTAAAGGTATTCTTTTAAAGAGTGTCAGTTACAATCCCTACATGCTACTGCAATGTTCTATTTCATCTAGAAAGGTATAAGGGTCTGCATTAGCATGCTTTATTTTATGAAAAGATGGGGACTGACAAATGGCCTTCATGATAGTAATTTTGCTCACTGAGAAATGTTATGGAAATTTCTTAGGAGTGTTACAAAAAAACCACCTGGAAAAAAGATATTAAAAAAGTCATTACTGCACTTTAAGAATGCCATTGTTATCTGAACTTTTGGTGAAGGTTGGGGGCAGCCTTGGCTGCAGTGACCATGAGATGGTGGAGTTCAGGATCCTACGAGGAAGAAGCAGGGCAATGAGTAGGATTGCGACCCTGGACTTCAGGAGAGCTAACTTTGGCCTCTTCAGGGACCTGCTTAGGGGAATCTCATGGGGTAGGGCCCTAGAAGGAAGAGGGGTCCAAGAGAGCTGGTTAATATTCAAGC